TTTTTTTTTTTTTTCAAGAATGTCTTTTTATTTGTACTTTGTATTGGAAATGATTGTATAAAGAAAGCAGCTTTTGATTATTTGAGTTAGTTTTTGCGGAACCAAGGATACGAGTAATTGAGTATTGTACATTTTAATTTTTAGTTTTCTTCTTTTATGATCTGATCTCAAGATTTAGCATTCGAACATTTTCGATCCGGTGGAAATTTCCATTTTTACGTACCTATTCGATTAAAGAGTGTTTTTGAGAATCAAAAATTCAATCTTAATTTTTTATGAAAATTGTTCTAGGCGTCTGTATTTTGGGTTGATTATACAGTTTGATCCATTTGATCTGATAAATTTTCTTCAGGTATGTTGTATGTCTTTTAAAATCATATGTGAAATTTTAAATTTTGGGGTGATAAACATATGTAGACATCAAAAGCATGGACTACAAATGTATCACGTTGAAGTGGAAAAAATGCTCTAATTTAGCTTGGATTGAATCATAAGTCTACATTTGGGAGGCGTAGGCACACAGAGTGGCTTGTGTTTTTGCGGAACATCAAAGCAACTAGACTAATAACTTCTTATGGAAATAGTTTCAGCGTTGGTATATTTATTTATAATTATATTGAATTTGAGCGATGGTATGTGTATACTTTTGATTATGGCCCATGTATTTGATATAATGACTGAAAATCACATATGTAAATGTACGTCTTTTATACACTTACAATTCACTTCATTCCCTGACTATGTATAGGGGTTAAAAAGAAGAAAGAGAAATGGGGTTGACATTCACAAAATTGTTCAGTCGGCTTTTCGCCAAGAAAGAGATGCGCATTCTGATGGTTGGTCTCGATGCAGCTGGTAAGACCACCATCCTGTACAAGCTCAAGCTTGGCGAGATCGTTACTACAATTCCGACCATTGGTATGGCCTCTTAATTACGCAAACTTAATATCTCTATTTCTTTTAATTACTTTGATCTTGGCTTTGATATGACATGTACTTGTTAAACTGAAAGTGATTATTATTTCTTTTATTTATGTTAAATTGAATGCTGCTCTCTAATATTTAATTTCTGGGGGCCTTTACTATTGCTCTGCAGGTTTCAATGTGGAAACTGTTGAGTACAAGAACATCAGCTTCACTGTTTGGGATGTCGGGGGTCAGGACAAGGTGGAAATTTCGTTCTTACTCTGTCCCATGATTGATCACCTGTGGTTTATGCATCTATAATGACGATCAACAAATTGTATTTGACAATTGGCATGATGAAACTCTCTGTTTCTGTTGGTGTTTCTTGTTGTCCTTAGCACAGTAGAAAGATTCCTGTACTGTAATTAAATTCTCATGCAATGATTAAGCAATTTATCCACTTCCTTCCACAGATCCGTCCATTATGGAGGCACTACTTCCAAAACACACAGGGTCTCATCTTTGTGGTGGATAGCAATGACAGAGACCGTGTGGTGGAGGCAAGAGATGAATTGCATAGGATGTTGAATGAGGTAATGTTTCCTATTTTACTCATATGACTTTTAACTTCTATGGCACAAAGAATTTGTTGGAAATAGGGGTGATGAACAGAAGTTATCTTATTAGATGTCTGGGGGATTAGTAATGAAAATAAAAATGTTTCTTACGAGTATAGTGAATAGATAATTTATTTTTATCGTGCTTAATCAAGTATCTTCTCAAGAGCTTCGCTATCATCTCTAGTTTCTTCATTTCCGCAAGTAAATGCTTGGAAAGAGATCATAAATCTCATCTTCAGAATAGGTGTGAGCATTTGCAGATACAAAAGGAATTCAGTACAAATTGCAGGTCTTTCTAATCCGGGGGCCTTAGAATAAGAAAAGGTTTTTCGTTTTAGATTCTTCTTTCTTTTCTTACAGCACCTTTGTAGAATCAGTCTCCAAAATCCTTACTAGTTAGTTTAGAGGGGTGACCTCGACAATATGCAATACACTGCATGATGTGAGATATAAAATCAAGATATATGTGCTTTTATGAGTTTATATATCTTGCAAATCTTATCTTTGGGAAAAACCACGATAACTTTATTATAATCATACTGGGGGAGAGATATTGTTCACAAGGTGTATACAACACTGAAAGAGGCCGAAGTTAGCAAAAAACTTTCATCTACGCATCTCAACTTATAATAAATTATTCGTACCCTACTATCGAAAATTTTCTAGTTAACCCAAAGGAACAGTACAAATCAAAAGGTGTTTGACTAGTTAAGTAGATTCTTTGCTCAGCACTCTTGAAGCTCCCCAATCTCCCTTCGTTGATGATACATAAAATGTATAATACCCTAGTGGTTCATTTGTGTTGAATTAATGAATAAAGAATAAGATGAGTTTGAAAATGAGAACACATAAAATAAATTGATTTTGTCTTAATTTTATCTGGGCACATGCCAGTATCATTCAATTTAGACAAGGGTTTCTTTTACACATCTGCAACATAGACAAGTTACTTCTGTACAAAAAGAGTACAACCAGTGTGTCATGGATATGTTAAATCTAATTCCTTCTCTTTTACTAGGAGTCTAGGACTAGAAGTTTCTTTATCCAAGTAATAATGGGATTGGTCCTAACGGGAGTGGGGAAATAGGGGAGGATATCCTTACATTTGAACCTTTGGAGAGGTTGTAATCAGATGATCCTGAATCACTTTTGCGAGTACTGTTTCATTTAAGCCAATAGATGTTCTAGATGGTTATATTCTTGAGGTTACAATGTCATGTTGACCTGTTGGCTGGAATTTATTGTTTGCTTCAGGACGAGCTAAGAGATGCAGTATTACTTGTATTTGCCAACAAACAAGATCTTCCTAATGCAATGAATGCTGCTGAAATAACTGATAAGCTCGGCCTGCACTCGTTGAGGCAGCGTCACTGGTACATTTTTAATCTTGGTCTTTTGATGGTCCATACTTTTCAACTCTTTTTAATGCTCTTTCTCTCTCTCTCTCTCTCTCTCTCTCTCACAGGTACATCCAGAGCACCTGTGCTACCTCCGGAGAGGGGCTATACGAGGGGCTAGATTGGCTCTCTAACAACATTGCTAACAAGGCAAGTTGTACCTCACATTAGTTCATCATCTACTTTCATAGAAACAAATATGGCTTGCTACAATTGCTCTCCTTTATATTACTTTATAAGCTGAGCAATTTTTATGTTCGATCCATTTTTCAGGCATAGAACTTTATGCAGTTACTTGTGCTGAGTTGATGATGGATGCAGGCAGGTTTTTATCTGGTCTTATATATCTAGTCTGTGTGGTTATGGATTTTCACTTTTCAAGTCTTTGTTTTAGGACCTCTGTAATGGTTACTGGTTTGTTTTATATGATTGTTTAGATATGAATATAATGCTGTTAAACCTGCATATGAATCGATCGAAGATCACCCTTTTGATGGTTACTATTTTTTGCACTCATTTATTTCGTGGAGTTGCTTTTTATATTAATTCGAAGAAGTGATTCACATAACCAATAGAAACATTACCCTTCCATTATCAGGTAAATCTTTTCATTGTGATTATACCTTTCATTGGAAAAATTTTATCCATCTTATGCAGCCTTGCTTTAAGTTTTAGTAAATTATTAAGGGGAAGTGCTACATGTACATAATTGTTTACATAATTGTGTCTATAATTATACGTGGCACTGGATCCAACCTTTAATTCAAATCTCACACTTGCACATCAACAATCGGATGATTGACATATCACATTATGGATACCATTATGTGCAATAGTTATGTACAAATAGAATTTTTCATTATTAGGAGCCTGTTTGCCATGACTTTTGAAATATCTAAAGTAGCTTTTGAAAATCAAAATCTGTTTTTGGACCTATTTGGCTAATTTTATGAAAGCACTTCTAGTTAGAAGGAAGCAAAAGCATAAGCTATGCCGAACGGGTCCTAAGTTTTATGTCAACTTTCCAAAGTGAAATGGATATCCACAAACTTCATGTACTTGAGTAAAATCGAATCCAGTTGCATGTTGATTGGGCTTGTTGAAAACTAATACAAACATGTTTTAAATAAGTTAGTTTTGTTTATGGGAAAATTACTTAGAAACCTGAATTTAAAGATTAATTTTCAAAGAACAAGAGATTAAGGTTCATTTTCACAAATCAAGTCTTGAATAAATTTTAATAATTAAAACCAATAAAAATATATTTACAAAATTGAATACACGTATTTAACTCATCTAACCCCATTACCCCACCCACTTACCCACTACACCAAGAAATTTGTCTTCTCTCTCTACCCACTCTTATCTCTCTTCCAACATTTCTGTCTTCTCTCTCTATTGACTCTCATCTCTCTTTCTCTACATTTCATGTTCTCTTTCTAAAATCACTGCTTCCCCCATTCTCTCTTTACACCAATCCTTCTTTGACAGACAACTCCAAAGTTGAGTGCGGCATTGGAGTGGATGCACAGATTTGTCTCTTCACCTAAGTGGATGCGCTGGGATGGTCACATCGCCGGTGGAGTTGAGGCGCAACGATACGAACTAAACTCTTTTCCGGCGTTTCGGATCACGACGACGATTTAGGCTTTTTGTGCGGTGTTACAGACTTTTGTGTGGTTTTATAGATCGTATGATTTTTTGGTAAATTTTTCAACAAGTTTTGTTGACGTTTTTGAGATGGTTATTGTGTAGGTTGTGATAGTGTACTATGGTAGTGGTGATGGCTTGTTTGTGGGTTTTTTTGGTGGGGATGGTGGTTGGGTGCGGTTTAAATGGAGAGAGGAGATGATGGTGGTGGTGGTGTTTTGTGGGTGGTGCGGTGGTGGTGGCAACGGGTATGTGGAATTTTGGGTGGTGGTGGTGGTTGGGTATGGTTTAAATGGAGATAGAGGAGATGGTAGTGGTGAGGTTGCCGATGGCAGCAAAGACACGATGAATGAGGGAGGCCAATGTAGTGCCAGATAATTGAATCTTCTCAATTGAAAAGTGCTCTATTACTTCGATTGTGTGTTTGCTGGTAGAAGAGAAGGAAAGAGAGATTTTGCCTCTTTTTAGCAATTATCACAAATTTACGGTTGGCAAAAATGTAGTGGCCTGTCCTTCATCCATCCTTGTCTTCTGGGGCTAGGAAACATCATTTTTATCTCGATTATTACTTTGAAACAGGAGCAAATTATGATACTGATCGCAATGAGTTCATATTTGTTTGTGGTGACCTCATGTGACCAAATTTGTGTTTGTTGTGACTATTTGTGACCAATTTTGACCGGTTGTAACATGAGATTGACCTTGTCATAGATAGTCACACTGAATGTAATTTTGGTCACAGTTAGTAACACTGAAGTTAGAGTTGGTCATTGTTAATCACAAATAACATGGGTCAGTGAATTGGTTACATACAATCACAAATTCGATTATTACTTTAAAACAGGAGCAAATTATGATACGGGTCACGATGAGTGCATATTTGTTTGTGGTGACTCCATGTGATCAAATTTGTATTTGTTGTGATTATTTGTGACCAATTTTGTGTTGATTGTGACCGATTGTGACATGAGATTGACCTTGTCACGGACAGTCACACTGAATGTAATTTTGGTCACAGTTAGTCATATCGAAGACAGAGTTGATCACGGTTAATAACAGATAATGTGGGTCAGTGAATTGGTTACATAAAATCACAAATTAGACGGTCACATAGAGTCACATTGAAAATAAATTCGATTACAAATAGTTACATATAATTCATCTCACCTGATTAGGTCACAGATCTAATAGAACTGGTCACATGTCACAGATTTAATGAAACTGGTCACATGTCATTGTCTAAAAAAATAAAAAAATAAAGGGTACAATGTCAGTTGCCGGAGACCATTGGAATTGTTGCGGGAGGTAGGTTGGGGTCGTCGGAGTTGTCGTAGGAGAAGTTGCCGGAATGGGGTTGGGGTCGCCGGAGCAGTCACCGGAGTTGTCGTCGGAGAAGTCGCCGGAGATGGGGTGGGGTCACCGGAGGTGAGATGGGGCGGAGAGATAAAGAGAATGGTTTGAATTTAAATTTTAAAATTTGGTGGGGGTGGTGGTGGAGTAGGTAGATTAATTATATTATATTATTTTAAAATATTTAATAATTTCATTTATCACCTGATTTTTGTAAAATTTCAGGAAGTTTGTTATTTTAGAAATATGATTTTTATATGTAGGATTTATGTGGTCTTCTCTTTGTTTATTCATATTAATTTTTATAATGTTGGGTTTGTATTTATTTAAATTAAGCATCTTATTCTAATATTAACTAATAATTTATCTTAAAAATTACTCATTCACAAATAAAAACATTATAACCTTAGCCAACGTTCATTTTTCTTGTAATTTTTTAGCATTATAGCATTCTTTTGTCACGGTACAGTACGTGTGGCTTGGAAAAATATCCATCAATTGCACGTGCTAATTAATTGATTGATATTTCTTTGAGAAGGTGATATGCAAGAACTGTTCTGTCATATAATTTCACACAAGAAAACAATACATATATAGACAAGTGGGTCATTGTTCTATTCCTTAGCAACTTGTTACAATTAATACAAAAAGGTGCATAGAATGCTAGGATGGATACAATTCATGTGGGCTCTCATGAATTTAATGGGAGTTTAGTATGAATGCTTCTTTCCCAACACTTGCGTTATTAGCCATCACAAGAATTTAGCCTCTTAAAGTGGTCACTGCTAATTTGCATGAAATTTTATCTTTGCTATTTGAGTTAGAGCACAAGTAAAAATTCAAACTACTCGACCTTCATATATAGGGTGTTAGAGCACAAGTAAAAATTCAAACTACTCGACCTTCATATATAGGGTGAAACATTTTGTGCTCCGTCCAGTAGCATGACACTTGTAGCATTCTTCCATGGAATCATTATCATGATTAAGCTACTACATTTCGCTTGCTCGTCCTTTCTGTCTTTCGTTCTTTCTTTTTCTTCTTCTTCTTCCTTTTTTTATTTTTTATTTATTTATTTTTAATCCTATTTACTAGCTTGTTTCAATCCGCTAATTTGTCTTACGTATTGGGACTTGGATAAAATTTCTTCCCTCATAGTACTTACTGCTTCGCTCTAGATCATCAAGAGCATTTAGCCTATCAAGGTAGTATTTGGTGATTCATAGAGTAAGAGGGTAAGATTGCGATACTTTCAACCATTGAATTTTCTCCATCTAAGGTACGACAATTGTGCTGCTCCATCTAGCAATACTGTTTTTGTATTGCTCTTGCATCACGTCGTTTCTATAATTAGACTAGTTTCACTTCACTTGATGTTAAATTTCTTTCTTTTCTTCTCTATTCTTTTTTCTTCTTCTTCCCCTATAGACAGTGATGTGTCAAATTACTAGGTTCTCTTACCTGCTCACAGATTCGCTCGCATGCATGCATACATAATTTATTGATATATGTTTGGCGGTAAGGGTGAATCTAGGGGTCGAGTTTAGATAGAGTGGATCGCAAACGTTGAAAGTTTACTATCGACGGTCAACGTCCGTGATAGCGGGGTTTTTTTTTTTATTAATATTTACTTAACTAATATTTAAAAAATCGTACGGATTAGAACTAGAAAAACTAAATACACCACAAGAACTAGAATTATGCATGAATTTTCATTTTGGATGAAAAAATCGTTCTGCCCTAATTTATTTTTTAATTAAATAGGCAATATATATTAACAATATTCAATTTACAATTAAAGTTAATTAAACAAGCATTTTTATATTGACAAAATTGAAATTATTTATGTGGTTATATCAATTTTATGTGCTTGTATGATTTCACTTTTTCACAATCAATTTTTTGTAAACAAAAAGTGGAACCTTTTATTAACTAAATAAGTTTTGTTGAAAGATTTTTTATGATACTAAGGTCAATTTTTCTACAAGTTCATCCACTATTAATTCATCGAACTCTCAAATCAATTGATTAGAGGGGGGGGGGGGGGGAGAAAAAAAGAAAAAATAGAAAATCAAGAAGAGGGACAAAGTATCGGTTAAAATGTTTCTACTTACATTAAACCAGTAAAATTGAACATATATTATTTTGTTATATTATGTGCTAAAAATCAATAAGTGCAATGATGGTAAAGTGATCAATATGTTTAAGGAAGATAGCATGTTTGAATCATCTTCTTCGCATTTTTTTGGTAAAATTTGTTGAAATACAAAAATTATAAAAAAGATTGCTATTGAAAACCTTCGAATACACGACCTCCAATTCAATAGTGGAAAAGGTAACCAACTAAGTCACTAGAGATATTTGTTGTTAATATAAATTATTAAATATATAATTCAAAATTGTCGCTCATTAAATCCACCCCAGTGAGGGGTTGCCCGTGGGGGGGTGGTGGCGTGGAGTCCACCAAGGCAATGAATGACAAGATTCTACACCGCCTCCTCAAGATATATAAGG